AAAATCTATCAAAAAATCGATTACATGATCGATAACAAAGTCGATAACAAAATCGATCACACAGTGTTCAACAAAATCGAAAAATATATAGATAACAAAATCGATATACATATCGATAATAAAACCGATAAAAATATCGATAACAAAATCGATAAAAAAATCTATAAAAATATCGGTAACAAAACCGATAAAAATATTGATGACAAAATCGATAGAAATATCGACAGCAAAATCGATAAATATATGATAACAAAATCGATAGCAAAATCGATAATAATAGCGATAGCAAAATCGATAATAATATCTATAGCAAAATCGATAACAAAATCGATAAAAAATTTCGATAACAAAATCGATAAAAATACCGATCATTATATCGTTAAGTTCCGAAAATATCGATAGCCAAATCAGTAACAATATCAATAGCAAAATCGATAAAAATATCGGTAGCAAAACCGATAAAAATATCGACAACAAAATCTATTAAAATATCGATAACAAAATCGATAGCAAAATCGATAACAAAATATATAAAAATATCGATAACAAAACTGATAAAAATATCCATTACAAAATCGATGAATAATCGATAATAAAACCAATCACAAAGTCGATAACAAAATCGATTACAAAATCAATAAAAATATCGGTAACAAAATCGATAAAAAATATCGATAACAAAATCGATAAAAATATCGATCGTTATATCGATAAGTTCCGAAAATATCGATAGCAAAATTAATAACAATATTGATAAAAATTTCGATAACAAAATCGATAAAAATATCGATCACAAAACCGACAAAATATCGATAAGTCCCGAGAATCCCGAAAATCTTTAAAATCCCAATATAGTTCCCAGATTGAGTCTCTGTGCCTCCATCTATATCCTTTTCTCTAAAACTACCTTTATTTTAATCTTTCTTCCCTATCTTCATCTATATTTTTATCGGTATCCTCATACTCACCTTTTTCTTTATATTTATCGTTGTTTTTATACTCGAGCGCACTTGTGCACAATGGTATTATAATTTTGTTCACATAACGGTTGTTTGTAACAGCCAAAACGAATCGAGATAGATATAGACATATATATACATAAATGATCAGAATGAAAAGAGAAATCGATTAAGCGGTGACTGTCCGTCCGTCCGTCTGTCCGTCTGTCTGTCCGTGAACACGATAACTCGAGAAAAAATTGACAACAAAATTTGGTAAGTAGGTTTCCCTTTATCCAAGGTAGGTTGGGATTGAAAATGGGCAGAATCGGACAATAACTACGCCCACCTCCCATATAACGGTATTTTCGAAGTATGCAAAAACTACGATATTTCTGCAAATACTGGATCCAAATTGTTGAAAGTTGGTATGCGAAGTAGAAATTTGGCATAAAATAAGGCAGTGATGAAATTTTTGGGAAACGGGCGTGGCCCCGCCCACTTATGATAAAAAGCTGTATCTCTGTAGTCCCTTTACCAATCCCCACTAAACTAGCTGAGAACATTACTTATGGCTTGACTAAGAAACCTGTTGAAAATTTATGAAATCCGACAAGAACCACGCCCACCTCCCATATAACGGTAATTTACAGAAATACGAAAACTGCGATAAATAAGTAACTATTTAAGCTAATTTACTCAAAATCGATATATGCAATAACCTCTTAGCAGGTAATTATAATTACGAAAATTTTTGAGAATGGGCGTGGCACCACCCACTTATGCCTACATATGGGTGTTTCCATACAGCCGTACGCGACATTCGTACGCTTATAGAGTAACGTAAATCTATCAAAAATAGAAGTTGCAGAAAAAAAAGATTACGGTTATGTTGCAACCCAAGGGTACTACGTTTGAGAAAAAAATAAGCAGCCTCGAAACTTTGGTGTGGAAAATATTCGTTCAAAACCAGGTGATAACGTACGCGACAAAAAAAGAAGTGGTTTTAAGGCACATATACATATATGCGAAAGTCTGCGAATCATGAGAGTTTTTCTTTTCTTTAAAAATTCCTAAATTAAGCTAAATAATGTACCTTTACAATCCTTCCATTTTTTGATAGAAATTATCTCTGGTTAGTTTTTATTAAAAAAAAAAACATAATAACGTACGCGACATAACGTACGCGACAGATTTTTTCCCCATACAATATTTTTGCTAGTAACTCATACTAAATTAAATTTTTTCAGTCCTTCTCTCCACTGTTTCGCGTTTTCAATACCTTTCTCCGCCATCTGAATACGAAATTTAAAGTTATAAAGCCGTTTGAATTCATTTGCTTGCATTTTCGGTTTACGTTTTCATGGAAACACGCATATATGCGAAAGTCTGCGAATCATGGGAGTTTTTCTTTTCTTTAAAAATTCCTAAACTAAGCTAAATAATGTACTTTTACAATCCTTTCATATTTTAAGAGAAATTATCTGTGGCTAGTTTTATATTAAAAAAAAAAAACAATAACGTACGCGACATAACGTACGCGACAATTTTTCTCGTAAGTAATAAAATGTATTTATTGAGAACTCTTCTCGCCACCGTTTCATTGTTTTACAACTATTCTAAATAATTTAAATGGAAAATTTGCAATTAACATTGGTTTTGATGTATTTGATTGAAATTTTCGTACTTACAATAACGTATGCGACAAACTTTAAAGGGTAATAAAATATATTTTTACTTCGGTTGGAAAGAAAATTTTACTGTATATCTTTAACTGGTAGAATTCTCGCTTAAGAATTGTAATCTGCATTACCTGCGACTGCCAATATACAAATGACGTAGACAAACAATGTTTTTGCATAACGTACGCGACATTAGAATACTATCAGAAGAAAATAAAAAAATTACCGTTATTCAAGCTCTAACTTCTCCTTTTTCTCATTTTTATAGTTAGTTGTTATTGCAAACTTGATTTTAAGATGTAATTGTAATGCACGATTGAGAGAATACAAAGGTTGCGCCGATCTCGGTACCGCTATTTTTCTCTTAACGAATTTGACAGAATCAGCTGTTTGTATGACGTCACACTGGTGCAATTGTTGATTTTGAACTTAACAATTTATTTGTGTGTTATTTCTGCGAGATTTTAAGCAATTCAAAGTGATTATTTAAACTTTATAAACTTATACTAAGGCAAAATGAAGTGTGCAGTGGCAAATTGTGATAGTGAAAACTATAGGCAAGCGTGCGATATAAGCTTTTTTTCGTTTCCTACGGACGAAGCTCTCGCCAGAAAGTGGATGCAGTTTTGCCGGCGAGGAAGTGCATTATTGAATCCCAAATCGAGCTACGTGTGCATGAAGCACTTTTCTAGTGAAGATATAGAAAACAATCGACAGTTCGAAATGGGTAATATATTGTGTATTTTCTAAATTCATTCCATTTAATGTTATTGTTGCAAACGCTTTAGGATTTGCAAAAAAACGCCTTTTAAAGCGTGGTGCTGTGCCCAGCATTTACCCAGAGGATGGGGAAACCTCCCAGCGTGCCGAAAGTATTCAGCGCGAGGAGTACAAACAAATTGTCAGCGAGTTACTTCAGCAGAGTGAACCTGTCGCAGTCAATGAAGGTAACAATTTGATTTTAAAGAAAGTTTCGACTTATATTTGCAAATAAGTTGTTATAGCCGAGGCGAATAACAGTGCCATAGTTGTTCCGATTGACGAAAATGTGGAGAATAAGGAAAATAGCCTAGTGGATGCAAATCTTTCCGAAATCCCCGCGACTTCAACACCTCGCAAAGTCTTCTACTACGACAGCAGTTTGGAAGAAGTTGAGGAGCTGGAAGCTCAACTGTGAGTTTGTAAAAGCAATAAGGCAATCTAAACATGTTGGCATATTCTTGTGTTTAAAGTTTTAATTTTGTTACACGTAGAAAAAGACTTAAGCGAGAAAACAAGACTCTGTTAATGAATAACAAAAAGAAGGACATGGAACTGGCGGCACTCCAGCAAAAGTACGGTAATCAGAAAAAGAAGCATGACTATGAGGTGGAACAGCTGAAAAAACGCTTGGATGAATACGAAGATATGTGTAAAAACATGGAGAGCAAACTGCTGACCATTTTCACGAAGGGTCAGGTTTCGAAACTGAAGCACGACATTAGGAAACCTACTTGGAGTCAAGAAGACATCGCGAATTCCATCACGTTGTACGCCGCAAGTCCGAAAGCATTTAAACTAATGTACAAAAAAGGTTTTCCGCTACCTGGCGTTCGCACGCTACAAAGTTGGGCACAAAAAATCGACGTATCCAGAGGTTTAATAAAGCCGGTATTTAAATTATTAAATGCCTCCACGCCTATATCAATAATTTTTAAATCTAACGTTTCTTTAAAATTTTTCCTTTTTATCTTTTGCAGTTCGTAACGAGAACGGTTCTTCAGTTCATCCGTTTAATATAAAGGCCCTTTTCAGGGCCGCAAGTATTAAACAAAGAGATAAAAATTCTACTTATATCTGTGGTCATAAGCAATAGCCGCCTAAGTCGAGTACAGCCTCATGCATGCAATTGGCATACAATTCTTAAGTCGACTTAGACGGTTATTGTTTGCAACAAAACACATATCGCACACCATCTTCTGAAGTGGTACAACTCAAAAATCAGAAAAACATATTTGCATTCATATGGATTGATTTATGCGTAAAAATCTACGAAAATTTGTTTGAGTTGTGCCCCTTTTACAGATGGTGTGCGATATGCATACGACAATAGCACAACTAAAAACAATAACAATATACGTACATAAATAAGTTTTTTATTGCAATCTTCCAATTAAACCATTAAAAACATCATTTATAAATAACTTATGAAAAACTTTGTGCTTTTGTATTTTCCCAGATATGATCGCCGATAATAGAATGGATGGATGAGTCGTCGTTCATTATCTGTGCACAATTCTTGCTTGAAGGCATGTAAACATTGCGAATATTACCAAAAAAATAGCGAATGCAACGAAAACTTTTATCAGAAATATTTCAGAAAAACATACCTATTATTTAATAACTATTTCAAAATTTTAAAATAAAAATCTTATACTACCAGAAAAAACGCAGTGTATCTTGTTTAGACAATTTTCGTTAATGCCTTGGCGCGCCGATCGGTATTTTGGAAAAGTGCTCGTATGAGATGCTTAACTTCTTCTGCCTTATAGTTTGCCGTTAAAATACCGGCACCTTCACACCACTGCTCGGTGATTTCTTTCAACGAAGCATTCAGTATCAGTTTGAATTGCTCAAGTTTTATCCAAGATTTAATATGTATCACTTCATGTTTGTGCTGCAGGAAGTACAAAAAAAAAATAGCATTTGATTCGCATCATTGCATCCCATCAGAAATTTACCTTGAATAAAGTTGGCACCTTCTCCAATATGACACCGATTAGCTCACTCAACTCACTTGCCACTGTTGCCGAAATGTCCTCCATTGCGAGTATACGTCGTATTATTTCATTACAAAAATCATGTATAATATCGCAAAATGTCTTGTTATAAATTGCATCGGGTAACACATTCTGCCAAACATTTTTCAACAAATCTAATTGACGCAAACACTGACGCAATAATTTCAACGGCGCAGTGCCAACTGTGTGTGCATCGGAAATATCTGCAAGAGAATACAAATATTTCTTATATAAAAGGTTATACAATAGGCACTTGTTTCAAGTATCTGCACCAGTGTGACGTCACCGAAAAATTACGCTCAAAAATCCTCTCTGATCGGCGCAATCTTGTATTCTATCATTCTTGATTGTAATGTTTCAAATCTCTTAATTTAGTTAATAGGAAAGAGAAAATAGTTCATTTCATTAGAGAAAACTGAGTCGAAGAGACATTCGGTTTTACACTTCCATTTTTGAGTTTTAAAATTCCAATAAGCTGAAATACTTCTATAATATAAAAATTCGAGTATTTTTCTCTTATTAATTCGTCTTAAAAACCCTTTTCAGTTGTTTTTATTTTTTCAGTACTGGTTGACATTTTCATGGAAACACCCATATGTGTATCTCGGTAACCGGTTTACCAATTTCTACCAAACTCGGCACATTTATCAACCTTGGCGTGAAAAAGCAATATGCTGAAAATTTTTGAAATCGGACTAAAAGTACTGACACTTACCATATAACGGTACATTTCAGAAATACGAAAACTCCGATTTTTTAATAAGCTAAGACGCCAACTTACAACAATCACTTAACAAGACACAAGATGTTTGATTACTTACTACGTAAGTGTATATTGATAACCGCCTTACCGATTTCCACCAAACTTGGTCCAATTATTTCAATAAATCATAGTATATTATCGAAATGTTTGGAAAAAAACTCTTGCTTATCATGCAGTTTACTGAAAGGTGAAAAAACGGTATTTAATATTTGCGTCGGGTATATAATGTTCGGTTTCGCCCGAACTTATACTTCTTTACTTGTTATTTTTATGTTTATCATATTCTTCACATACATATTCCCCTTCACCTTTGTTCTTATATAAGTAAAGTGTTTAAATTTCAAGTGTTTCATTTTTTCCTTAATCTTTACGCAACTTTGTTTTTGTTTTTATTTTTACCTTTGCCTTTATCCTTTTCTTTATCTATGTACGTACTCACCTTTACTTTTATTCTTGGACTGGTTTTTTCTAAGTGTTGTTTCACTTCAAAAGTTTTCGCGTATTATGCATACATGTGTTCATATATAATATGTATAGAGATACATAGATTACTAAAAAATAGAAACAGATCCACATTAACTGCAATCAACATATATACATACGTATGTATGTATTTAAATATGTACATACGCTGCGATAAGGTTATAAACAGGGAACGGATTTTATGGAAATTGCCTTTTTTTCTGCTAAGGAGATAGAGTATATTCGATTAAGAATGTCCACGATTTAGCTATCCCTGATTCCATATATACACATTTGATGTTGCCTTTTTTTGCCTTTTTTAAGATATTTGCCTTTTTTTTGCCTTTATTAATATATTTGCCTTTTCTACCTTTAAAAAAGTGATTATAGCATTTATAATTTTTTTTTTTTAAGATTAAAAAATATACACATGTCCATGCGGCTTATAGAAGCGCAGGGACCTCTTGCCAAATTAGTGTTGAAAAACTTCAAAGCCGTTTTCTCAGCTAACGCAGGCTTGAAGACAATAAGGGGTGTGGATAAAATTGTAAAGGGCGAGGAAAACGCCCTTATTCCTGATAATATGAACGTTTCAAACGTTCCATATTTAAATTGGGCTCCCTTGTATCAACTTACGTCGATCGCACATTTAGTACATTCAAGGCTTTTCTTCGCGAAAATCGAATCAAAATGCTGCCAGAAAACTTCAAAATGCATCTTGTGGTTCAATGTTACTACAACTATACAGATTAAAGTTTTATGAGTTAGAAACTCGAAAGGATAAAATAGTCAAAGATTCAAAGTACAAATTTTTCATATAATGAAACTAGTTCATAGTTTTTCTCTTTTTACTTGTAATATAAACATTTCTAAAAAAAAATATTTTTTGATTGTTCTTCGTATTTTCTGTCTTTTTTAGTGCCTTATTTTGCTTTTTTTGCAATACCTTTTTTTTT